GAGTTAATTAAAGGACTAAGAAATAATATTATATGCCTAGCAAACGAACACCAAAACGAGTTAGCAGAGAAAGACGCGGAAATAAAGAGCAAAAACAACAAAATTAAAGAATTAGAAAATCAAGTTACTAATTTGAACCAAAAATTACCAACTATTCAACAAGAGAAACAAAATAATTTAGACTTATTTTGCGAAATCTCAACTAGAAGAAATTTTTCTTCCGTAATAATTAAACAGTTGTCGGTAGAAGAAAAAACCGCAATTAGTCAATGAGACAAAATAAAAACCGCTATAGAAAAGGAAACAAATAGTAATCGTTTAGCGAACGAAAATTATTGAGATAAACAAATCCAAAATTTAGATAATGATAAATTACCTGCCGATAAAAAATCAATTACTCTCCAAACCAGACGAAGAAATTATTATAATCAATTAGTTAAAGCAGCAAACCAAACTACCCAATTAGTAGCCCAAATCCAAATTCCGCCTAAGCAAAAAAATTAAGCAAAAAGCAAATTGGAATTGTTTTCGGCATTTCTCTGGTTAGTTTTTTTCCATTCTTACCGGAGCCTTTATTCCCATTAAACCCAGACCAAGTTTTAAAATTATTTGAATATTTTTTACTAAAAGCAGTTTCTGGGAAGTTAATTCGGGTTTTTCAGAAATCAAAATAAGACTATTCTGGTAATAAATTTGTCAGGCTTGGGCTAATTCGTATAAGTAATGAATTAGGTGGTGAGGTTTGTTTTCGGCAACAATAGTTTCTAATATCCCCGGAAAACGAATTAACAAATTAAATATTTTTTGTTCACTTTCTTCTTCTAGTAAATTGATGCTAGAACCGATTTTCGTAATTCCTTTTTCCTGGGCTTTGCGAAAGATTTGGTGACAACGAGCATGAGCGTATTGAATATAATAAAGCCGAGTTCTTTCTTTATTCTGTTTTAGTAAATCAGTATTGATAAAAAGCGGTTGATTGGGTTCTTTTTCTAGCAAGAAAAATTTTAGTTGGTCGGTTTCAAGGTATTGCAAGGCTTCGTCTAATTCAATGGTATTACCTAGTCTTTTGGAAAATTTTTCGGCCTCCCCAGCAGGAGAAAGTAAACTTAACATTTGCACGAGAATTATTTTAATTCTTTCTGGGTCATAGCCTAATAATTGACAAGCACCTTTTAAGCGAGCAATAAATCCGTGGTGGTCAGCTCCCCAAATATTAATTACTCAATCAGCTCGGTTTAACTTATTTTGATGATAAAGAATATCAGAAAAAAAGTAAGTATACTCACCATTTTGTTTGAAGATTGTTCGGTCTTTTTTGTCTCCGGCTAAACTAGTGCGGAAAAAAGTGGCTTTGTCTGCTTCGTAGACGAATTTTTTTCCCCGTAATTTTTCGAGAAGTTTTAAATGATTAGCGTTTTCGTAGCAACTAGTTTCCGAAAATCAGCGGTCAAAATTAACTCCACACCGGTCTAAATCTTGTCGGATTTTACTCAGAAAAAATCCCAAGATTTTCTTTTTTCAAAGGTCAAATGTTCCACTGTCTAGTTCTTGACCCAGAAATTTTCCTCCTCATTTTTGAATTAAATAATTTGCTGCGTCTTTCTCTGCTAACTCGTTTTGGTGTTCGTTTGCTAGGCATATAATATTATTTCTTAGTCCTTTAATTAACTC